ACCTTATTTTTTTTAATAAAGTGTTTTGTGAAAAAAAAAAAAAAAAAAAAAAAAAAAAAAAGGAGCCAGGTATATCTTTTTTTTTTTAAAACACAAATTGACTGCCTGGCTTCTGGAATTGGTCCAGCCCTCCACCTAAAGCAAATTGCAGAATCACACTTTCTTTTTCAAACAAGTGAGCATTAACTGTTAGTTTTGTTTTTTTATTTATACTGTAATACTACAAAAAAATAAAATTAAAATAAAATACCAATAAATACTTACACATGTAATTATATATACATTTTTGTACATATAAATAAAACCAGAAGAGTCTAATGTTTGCATGATAATTACAGACACCCATCCATACACCTCATAAAACAGTCAGGTGAGGAGCATACCTGAATCAGTACTGTTACCAATGCTGTTGGGTATTATTGGTATCGAGGATGATGACTGTATCCTCGGCTGGGAAGGGTTGAGGTGTAAAGGATTTCCCGGATGGTTTAGCATCCCATAATTGCTATTTTGCATCTGGTTGATGAACCCGGTGAGATGGGCATTGGGGACTGGATTGCCACCATGAACAAAGTTAGTGTTTGGGTTTTGGCAGGAAACGCCTTCACCTCTCATCGGTAAGTTATGTGCCAGTGAATTATGGAGATTGACGGCGTTCAGGCTGTTGTCAGTATAGTTCATCTGGTTGGCGGAGCAAGGCAGACTCATATTCGAGTCAGGAACGGTGTTGCTATTGCTGTTCATGTGGGAGTTTTGACAACTCATGGTTTGGAGGAGCTGTGACATGGAGTTCAGTGGAAATGAATTTTGCCCTTGTTTCCTTATTAACTCTGGCCCGTGCTTTTGTAGGCTGGAATTATCGATGGGTGGCGGCTTGAGCAGATTCATCACTGTTGACCCAGGCTGTTTTCTCTTTCTCAAGTCCTTCTGCTGAGACATTAGTTTATCTCTCAGAGCTGCCCGACCACTCTGTCCCTCGGCTGGTGGTAGATGCGAGCTGGAGGCCGGAGGAAACATTGTGGGTAAAGTGCTATTTCCATCACTGCCGCCGCAGCTAACTGCAGGTCCCGAGCTGCTCTTATTACCAGCAAGTTTATTTTGATTTGCTAGCTGTGCTTTGGCTGCTGCTGAAAGTAAACTGCTCGCTGGGAAAGAGGCAGCATTATGCTGGTTCAAAATCTGATTTAAAGGCATTCCCAGCAAACCTGTCTGACCCTTACTAGGAGCATTACCAGCCGATGATGAGGGGAATACGGTGTTGTTTGGGGGGTTCAACATGTTGCCCATGCCACCAATTAATGGATTATGAATGTCTTTGTACTGATGATGGCCATCAGGTTTAGCTGAAGGGCTGGATGGCATGGAGGGTCTTGGAGAGCCCATGTTGGGCCGTGGAGAACGGGGCGGAACTTTGAGGCCAACACAGGAAGGTTGTGTTCCCATTGGAGGCATCATGAAGTTCCCATGGTCAGATGATGTGGAAGAGGAGCGTGATCTTTGGGGTGAGGCCTCTATCCTCCCTATACCGGGTGGCATTGTGTGCACTGGGGAGGTTACTGGGGAAGGAGACAAGGATGATGAGGGTGGATGTTGGATTCTTTGAACATGATTGCCGTGATTCATGTGACCGGGTTTGACAGTTGGCAAAGGGAGATTACTTGGCAAAGGAACAACAGCAGGCGGCATGTTTACATTCATCACAGGTACCTGAGAGTGAACATTTGGATGAAATGTGGAAGTGTTCAATACAGGGTTTTGTAGAACTGGTTTACTTGGAATGGGGTCTAGAATACCAAGTGGATCTTTCTCTGAAGATGTCAATGGCTTTTTCTGAAGAGCACAAAGCGGTGGTGGGGGTGGAGGAGGCGGTGGTGGCAAGGGGGGTGGGGGACCTGGTGTTGGTTTATGGTGAAACATTGCACGAGACATATCCATGTTTGGTGGATAACTGCAAACAGTTTTTTTAGACACTGGGCTGGTAAAAGGGGGGGACAGAGGTATGTTCGTTCTTCCAACCATAGCACAAGATGGCTGCACAGGGGAACCACGCAACATAATGGACTGGGGAGACACAGGAGTCCTGTTTACATGAATGGGACTGGGACTGGGTGGCGCATGAAAGTTGGGATTGCTCCTTGTGAATGCATCAGGACTTCCCAAGGGGTCTGTCCTTGGAGAAAGAGGCCCCTCACCAAAGATTTGGGACCCAGATGAAGCCGGACTTGGCATGCCACCATGACTTCCACGATATGGTGATTTGTGTCCGTGTTCGCTGCTCCCTAATCTCTGCCGTGAATATGCAGAATGGAGGTCATGCTGCTGAGCTCCCATGTGTTCTTTCACCATAAGCTTGAACGGGTTTTTACATTCTGGCATAACAGCATTAGCAGTTCCGTCATGCAACTTATTCCTCATGGAACGTGGAGTCGATGCACGTGTGGATACCACAGGAGCAGAATCTGCAAAATTGACACACAACTTCTATAAGCACACCGTTTTAAAACAGACCGACATTTAAACATACAATAACATTATTTTAATGGGTGGTCCACTTTCAAGAAGAAAATGTGTTTCTGAGCTGGAGTTATGTCACAATAAAAAGCAAAGGAATCCTGAAGCACTGTAGCAGTCTTGCAACAATTATTTTCCCTAATGCAGCTAAGCACTGGGGGGTTTCAAAGAAGGATTACCTAGAGCAGTGGTTCTCAACCTGTGTAACCTCAGGACCTACATTTGTCCTTGGTCATTAAGTCGCAACCAAAGTCACACTGCAGTGGAACGCACAGCATTGCAGTACCACACATTCTGGTGTGGGCGCCTGAACTGTGGGCGGGAGGTGATTTGTTTTGCTTTTTTTTTTTTTTTAAGATCTACCTGGTCTCCCCACCTTACGTGGACTGGAGTGGATCCTCAGCCTGGGGTCCAGTGTGGGCTGTTGTGCTGTGACAGAGCTCCATCTAATGTATATGTGCAATGCCTGTACAACTCCCTTGCTCACCCTGTAGAGGTCACGTGCCAGAATGTGACATCATTCTGGTCCAGGCACCTGCCCTGGACATGTAAGGGAGCTGTAAGCAATGCACATATGGATGGAGCTCCCTCGCGGCCTACCGCACCTCAAGCTGACACTCGGCACCAGGCAACATATTTTAAATGGCTGTTTGGCTCAAGAACTGACAGTGGTGCGCTAGGGGGTGGCTGAGGAGCCTCTCGCATAGAAAAGTGGAAGGCCCACTGAAGACAGGGTCACGACCCACCAGTTGAGAACCAAGGCCCCAGAGGATCCATTGTGGGAGGCAAAAGCAGAAAATTACCGCTGTTCATTAAAATAAAAAAATACTCTAAAGCAACACTTCATTTTTCTTGGAAAACATAAGGACAGTAATATACAAAGCAATTTTTTTTTTTTAAACTGCATTTCTTTTGCCAATTTTAGAAAATCGTGGTTGGCTACAGATAGGATTAAAAGGTCATTTTGAAAAACATTACATAATGGTTTCTGTAGCAATTTTACAAACTTCAGCTAATTTTTAACAAACGTGGATATTCCCTTTAAAAGTGAACACCAAGCATCTAGGTTTTTGGTGGAAAAGAAGTAGGGCACCTGTTGTGTGAAACGATGCTGAGGGCTACAGGAAGGATCACTGACATTTTGAAAAACATTATATAATGGCAACTTTATGGGTCAAACACCTCTTCTTCCTGCTATGGCAGAATGTTGGAACCTTCCACATCAAAATGTGGAGATCAAATTCAGGCAGGCACTGAGAACGCAAGCAGAAGATGGGGACACCGAGGGAGAAACTTTAAAGAAGCAATTCCCACCAGTGGTGGCATTGTGTGGAACTTTTCTGTTAACAAACCAATGACAAACCCTTTTTGTTTTTTAAGTGGTATGCTGAAAGAATAACGTCTCTGCTGCTTCACATCTTGCTTCATATTTAACAAAAGTTAAACTTTTTTTTTAGTTTCCTTGTAGATTTATCCCATCTCCTTTTTGAAATTCCTAACTGGAAATAGCAGTCCTAAGGCACGGCCTTAAATCGGCCGATCTCCCAATGTTTATTTTTTTGTTGGATTAGCGGGCCCATCAACCAGGTCAGTGCCCTTTCTGCTCTTAGCTATCAGTAGTTGGTTACATTCAACGTCACTTGTTCTGTAATGGTAAAGATGTTTTCAAGCTCATTCAAGTGGCTTCCTCAGTTCTAATGAGCAGTAGTCACATATTATGGATATTAAGGGTTTATTTGTATAAAAAACGTAGCCTGACCGCTGCGGAATATCTCATCCAACAGCTCATCTATTAGTCCGATTGTTCTGGTGTTTAAATTTTATCACTGACAATTGGCGTGTCATTGATCTTACACTTTCTCAAAGCTTTATTCTGGACTGGTGGAGTAAACGTGTCCTCCTGACTGGATAATGTGGGACGGTCATTCAGAATTGGAACACTGCTTTGTGGAGTGAGCTTACATCCCGCCAATCACTGCGTTTCATTTAATTTTACTTTGATGCAGTTGTGCACTGAAAGACACAACGTGAAACTAACATACCCGACAACTTTTAGGGCCCATTTTATTTGTGGTTTTCTATTTTAAAAGGAGAACTATGGGGTCAGGGCTTTTCCCTAAGGGTAACGGGAGGACACAAACTAGCGCCCTCCCGTCACCCTAAGCTCGCGGTATAATGAGACGCCACAGCCGGGACGGATCCCGACATTACTGTTGAGATCCACCCAGCTGCGGTATTGACAGCTAGCTCTGCCTATCTAGAGGCAGAGCCAGCTGTGCCCACCCCCTCCCGTTCCGCCAGTCAGCGCTGGAGGATCGGAGCGGGGAGGAATCCCTGCAGGGAGCTGTCAGTGACAGTCACAGCTCTCTGCAGGGATAGATCGAAAAGTGAGCGAGCGACGCTATGTGTTCGCTCACTTCCCGATCTATTGAGCCGACCTGTGACAGTTTCATTGTCACAGGTTGGCTAGAACTATGAGGCTGAGTGATTTCCACTCGCCTCACAGTAATCCTTTAAATTTGTGTTAGGCCTGGTTCACAACTAGGCCGCATTGTTTTTGCGCGTTTGTATGCGAAAGTTCATTGTGTGGTTATTTGCACGTTTTGCACATTTTTACACGTGTTTTAAATAGCAGCTTAAGAAACATTGCAGTCAATGGAGCAACTCGTGTGCAAATCGTGCATGATTGCAGCGCGTTGAGGTGTCGCTAGGGTGTGCACCGGCCCTTAGATCGACCGTCGCCACTCTGATACAGTTTCTTACCACGTTGGACTAAAAAGGGGGCTCGAGGAGTTGGAGAAAGGTCCCACTTTGGATCTAACCAGCTCTTCTCCGTCTCATATTTGTTAGTCCCGGCAGCACAAGGTTTTGTAGATATATAAAACTCGTTCCCAGTGACTGATTACTGGTCATTGACATTTCAAACAATGAAAATAATACGCTTTCTGTGATTTAGCAGTAGTACATGTTCAATGACACCGCAGCCACGCCCCCCGCAGTGCGATGGCCCGCACCCGGAACGCAGGCACATTAGTGCTTGCCTTTTCGCGAAAATAGTACTTGCAGCATTTTTGCAGAATGCACTGGACCGGAACGCAAGCACTAATGTGCCTTTGACTTCAATGCCCCTCCCGCCCCTGAACGCAGAGAGCAGGCCAGCTTGTGTTGCAGTGCGTTCCAGAGGCCGAACGCACTGGAACGCAGACTTTGTGGTGTGAACCGGCCCTAAAGGAGGAAACCTGTTTAACAGTAACCAGTTAGTGGCAAGCAAACTGCCATCAGGGACTGCAATTTTTCGGATGTGTTTTCAATACAATCTTGCCATTAGCACTCAACCACATCAGCATTGGCATAACTGCTGGAACAAAAAAGTAATAAAGGCCTGTGTCAACAAGCTTTTGTTTGCATTGGAACAGCTTCTATCCCCATCCAAGTCAATGGGAATGCTAAAGCAGGAGGTAAAATACAGGTCAAATGCAACTGCCAATGATTTCAGCCGTACCTCCAACGGATCTCTATTGTAAGTGCAATACACCTGAAATCAAGCTGCATTTCCCCACTGACATGTCCGAAGCCCGTTGACACAGGCCCTAATAAAACAAGCTCAAATGACAAAATAGTGCAAATGTATTTTGTTACAATCACTTACTTGTCCCACCCCCGGGGCTTGTTAACACCAGTGAGGGGTGCGGCGTCTCCATGCTCCTGTGCAATGTGGCCACAGCAATGATCTTACGCTTGTGGATGCAAAGCTTGGTCACATCCTCATCGGCCTTAACATCCTCTGCAGTTCTTTGTTTCACAGCAGCTCCAGGGTCAAAATTAAACACCTACAATGGTCATACATTGGATTACATAAGGGTGGGCATGCACAATTCGCTACGGAATAGCCTCTGATACTGCACCCCGGGCCATCTGAGTGCTTTTTAGCTCAACGGCAATCGCATGGTACATACAGAAGTCAACACTTGGCTCTGCGACACACAAGTACAGGAAATGCCCAACTACTGTACTTTAAGCCAAGGGCTATCATAATTGGTTTACCCTTTTCAGCAAATTCTGAAATGTAGAGCCATATAAAGCTCACAGCTAGCAATTCCCCAACCATTTGGAGCTTCTTTTAAAGAAGACATGAAACGATGCTCCGATACAGCAATATAAACTAAGCAAGAGCAGGAACCTCTGTCACTTCTTCCTGTCAGTAGAAAAAACAGTTCATACACATGCGAAACTTTGCTGGCTTCTAGATACACAACATGCTTTACAGTTTGTGTGTCCAATTGTCACCAACACATCAATGAATACTAGCATAGTATTCTCAACTACTTTCAGGCGGTCAGATGGCATGTTGTGCAGTGACAGAGGCGAACAATGACAAGTCTTCAGGGTGGCCACACACTAGCAGATCATTCACTGAGCAAGAATGGAGGGGTAAGGAGTGTGCTGGACTTCATCTTTGGGACGTGCCAGATGGAACCATACAGGGCTTGTGTGGTGAAAGTTTTGCTCCCTTACTTCTATAGGAATGGACATGACCAGATTTAAAGACATGTCAATGTTGGCCATTACTTCTGATATTCAGAAGTGTAGATTCTAACAATGTCAGCTCTTATACACCCCGCTCATAAAAGCAACTCTACAATATGTGGTGCTGTGTGCCAATGCTGGACTGTGAATGCCCACCCTTACTTTCACAAAGAGAAAAATATAAAGAGAAGAAAGATTAGATTGGTCTACATTAAAGACAGCAAGTTATACTGCCCCCCCAATCCCCCCTCCCCTCCCAATGCAACATCCCAGTGTAACTGATCATCTTCGCAACCAACAAAGAAACCAGCTCATAAAGTACCTTCGGCAGAATGAGAGGGCACTCTAAACCACACTTGCAGGTTCCGTCTGTGAGAAGATATGTCTTGACCTGGTCCAAGCATGACAGATGGGATCCACTTGGGCTGCAAAGTAAAGACACAGATCAGCCATATGGGAAAGGGCAGATTAAGCCCTCATTCACACCGCTAAGAGCCGGCCCATACAGATCAGTGCGGCATGCACGGCCGTATCGGGCCGCTCCCGGGAAGGACAGGTGCTACGTGTGATTGTACAAAGCAGCCTGCTCTCTATGGGAGTACGTGGCCGTATACCGCCGTACATATACCCGACCTGCACATCCGTGCGGGTGCCCTTGCCCGGACACAGACAGGATCCATCCCGTCTGCGTATGAGTACGGACACCAGCACGGATGTGCAGCTCGGGTTAGCGTACGGCCGCATACTCCCATAGAGAAGAACAGGCTGCTGCGTACAAATCACAAGCCACACCTGACCTTCCCGGGAGCGTCCAGATACGGCCGTGCACGCCGCACGGATCTGTACTGGCCGACACTTAGCTGTGTGAATGAGGCCTAAACATCTCTAAAACACATTTGAACGACAGATATGTTTAGAGAACAAGGAGAACACACAAAAGAAGCACCGCTCCTCTACGGCTCAGGAAATGAATGAGCTGGGTGCTTGCCACTGGGAGCACATCCTCGCTCCAATATGAGCCCATATAAAACAGAAGAAAAGCTGGCCGCAAACCGGATTCCATTGGCATAGTTTATTGAACTTGTACCACATCACTGGTGTCCTGCCCAAGGTCCACCTAATCACAGGCTTCGTCAAATCATCTCTGAATTGGTGCCGACACTGTCCTTCCTTCTGGAGGGTGGCTACTTTTATTCACCATGGTCCCTGTGTGTGTGGTAAAGTAGTCACCGAACCAAGCTCACAGCCCTGATGGACTACAATCTCATGTTTAGTTTACTAATTTGTATTAAGATTGTAGTCCCATCCCGGGAGTGAGGTTGGAGCGGTGGCTACTTTACAACACACACAGGGACCATGTAAAATAAAAGTAGTCACCCTCCAGAAGGAAGGACAGTGTCGGCACCAATTCAGAGATGATTTGAGGATTACAGCCGAGTGATACACAAATAAGATACATTTTTGTTAATAGTTAAAAGGTACTTGAAGGCATTTTTAAGATTTAAGAGTTCCTGAATTTAGAGTCACTTTAAAAAAAATAGTGAAAAGAGCATACGGCAGTACCTATAACAACCAATCAAAATTGATCATATGCTTGTTTGTCTTCAGTGAATTCTCTTCTTAATCCTGAACTAACAAGCCAGCAAGGGTTGTATTGATTACTAATAGATTTACCACCAACAAATTAAAACACATGTTAAACTCAAACCTTTTTTCAATATTGAATCCAGATCAAACAAATGTACACCGATCAACTATGTATTTCTTTACATTTTTCCCTAAGCATTTAGTCATCATGTTTCCAAACAATTGGCTACAACTCTCTCAGCTCCACTTCCCTGAACGTCCTATCCAGTACAAGATCGCAAGGGAGAACACAATCTCTAGCACCTATCCATCTACTAGCTTGGAGAAGGGAAGAAGAGGGAGGAATGGGGTGCAGGGGGAGAGTCTTGACTTGCTGTGCCTGTGTGTTTGTAGAGAAATACAAAGCTTACCAGCACACACATAGGACCCTGCAAGGGAAAGCTGCCACCCTAGAACAGGAAATCGGTGCCAAACATTTAAACATCAAAACATCAAGAAGCAGCAACCCTTGTAAGTGATTTCATCAGCATTTGAAATAACTTTAAAAACCTTTTGACTTTAATACCCCTTTTAAACACTGGCCATATTTACTTTGATGAACAATTACAAAAGACTCTGAAAGAAAATGCCAAAAATGTAAAAGTCAGACAAAGTGAACTAAATCCCGGCAAAATGAAAACTCACTGTAAACACTTATGCTAATGACTATGATTCTTCTTTTTCAATAGGTATATTTAACCTAACAATTGCAGAGCAGTAGTCTAATCAAGCCAGAACTGTATAGTCTAGTTACTGCAAAAGTTGTTTTTAAAAAGGTGTCTGTTTCAGTCATCCTTCTCCTTGGTTTGCTATGTAAAGTACATGGCTAGGGGGAACATAAAGAGCAGTTACCTTATCCCTCGCTCCCCAGCAGCCGGTGCTCTCCTCTTCTCTCCTCTGGGTTCTGGGCAGGCCCTGGCCTCCTAACGTACAATGCAGGACTGCTGGCCCTGCATTGTACATGGTATCAGAACACCTGTGAGCAATGGAGCGGTGAATAGAAGTGGCCACGGGGGATCATTTGTGCAGTGGGGAGGACCCCTGAGGCTGGGTTCACACCTGGGCGTTTGTAATATGGGAGTTTGACGTGAGCTTCGGGCTGCGCGTCAGCGCGATCGACGAAACGCGAGTTTGACCTGCGTTAACTAAATATATCAGGCTGGGTCTATGGATACGCGCTGAAATCCGCCCCAAAGAAGCTCCAGTACTATTTCGGGCGTAGGGCGTTTTTCAACGCTTCAAAACACGCTGAAATACGCCCAGGTGGGAACCATGCCTATAGCATTTAATAGGATTTCACTTGTTGAGCGTTTTTCAGCGCTAAAAAATGCCCAGGTGTGAACCCAGCCTGAGGGACTGAGGTATAAGCAAATTAAAATGGGTTTTTATGTTACCCCTAGAAAAAAAAGGAACATTTAACCCTTAGAGTGTGTGGGGAATTCAGCTTTAAATACATTGCTGGTACCAAAAAAATATCCGTTTATCCACTACAGACTAGTAGACTACACAGTGCTTCTGCAGCACTGAAATACCATAGTGTTGCCCTCATTAAATTTCCCCTGCTGGATTACAGAACACCACCCTCCTCTCTTCTCCATAACATAAGGTAAAATTGTTCTGTAGTTTTTGTCCCCCATTGCAGAGATTACTCCTCACTTCCTGTGCCAGGAACACCCAATCACTGACAGGAAGTGAAGGAAATCTTCCTGAATGCAGACACAACCAGCAACACTTGAGAGGTTCTAACTCTCACCCTTCCCATTAAAAATAAGTTGTTTTTATTTACCATAAAATCTTTATCTTGAAGTCTATTGAGGGACACAGAAATACAATTGGGACACAGATATAGTTGGGCTATACTGCTGCCCACAGAAAAATGTAAGCCACCTCTGGACTTCAAGAAAAAGATTTTCTGGCAAGTACAAACAATCTTAATTAATTATGTTATAATCCATTGAGAGTCACAAGATTTCAGCCTTAGTAGGGATGTCCAATCAAACGGTGGGTACCAACAACCGACAGATCTACAAGGGGAGCGTGACCCGTCTACAAATCAAGAAGCACTAACACCCAAATCTGAACCAGATCAGGGATGCAAGGGACGCTGCCAATGACCAAGGGGAGGACAGTAGATAAATCTGATGCACAAGACAAGGACATAGGCGCTCAACATCAAAAGGTAAATGATTCCAACCAAAGGAACACTGAGCATGAACCAGTGAGGGGCTGTGAACCAAAAAAAAAAAACAACAACAGGTGGAAAAACCCAATAACCTAATTCTGGAAGAAAAGACCCACAACATGGAGAAAACTCCTAAAAGAACAGGTCCCCAAGGGAAACTTGGACAGACCCAGGTCTGGATAAAAAGACCAGCCGGCCTACACAGGAAGGCCCAAGCCTTACAAACCCAATCTGCAGGATTTAGGGAAGGAAAATACTGATACTAAAAAGAAGGCTGCCAAGCAAATCAACCAATCTTGGCAAGCAAGATAACCAAAGACTGTGAAAATCATCACAGCATAATAACCTATAAGGGTTATAAAGTGACCGCTGAGACTGGAAGAGAACTCAAGGGTACAACCCCATGGGACTGAACCCAAAGTAGTGCCCCACCCGAAGTTCTACGCCCGTCAGCTTGTCACAGCGCTCCCTCCAGCCTGTTTACTTAATTTAGACACAGTCGGGCAACCAGTGGTTTCCTTAGGAGACTGGTATTGGCAGCCCCCACACTGTCCGCATGACAAAGTAACACACACATTAAAAACCTGACAGATGTTCTGTACTTCCAAGAAAAAAATAAAAAAGTAGCAAGAGTAGGGCTCAAGCATTGAACAAAAAAGAAAAACCTCTAGACAAACAAAATAGAAGTCGATCACATAACTGGAGACCTTGTTCTGCTCACCTAATATAAACAACGCCAATCTGGCCCACTCGACGTTGCCAGCCCACTGGAACCTGCACTGACAGCGGGGCGCCATCGTTGTCTCCTCCATCACACACCTTTCCACCATTCATTTTCTTATTGTGATCCAGCCAAGATATTAACAGAAAGAGGACTGCCACATGCCATAGGAACTCATGTCTCTGAGAGGACCAATCCTGCACAGTTGTGTAATCCGCACAAAGTGCATTTGGTAAATAAAGTTTACAACGACTCAGAAGAATGGGTCACTGTCTCCGTAATCCATTTCTGTGCGATATCCCACACGGACCTGGGAACAAAAAGATCTCACTAAGCCACGGTGTCCTCCGGCGGTGAACTGGTAGAATCCATCCATGAGCAGTCGCCGATGTGATAACACATGGAAAATGAGTACTTCATCCTTGTGTATCCAAACACATTGTGATGGGATTGGTGAAGACGGATTATATGCTGCATTCTTTCTGTCTTTTTTTTGTTTTCCAATCTGTAGACAAAATGTTCCAATACTTCCCAGGGGACCTTGTGTTATCACAAACTTGCTTTACTGTCCTAAAATAAAAGACAGATATTAAGTTCAAGATAGTTTAGGTTTACATGTTCTATGCTACCTACAGTCATTTCCTCAAAATATAGCGAGCTGCAAAGCAATGACATCATAGAGAGAAAAAAATGATATTAGACAATATACAGTATATTTATTAGGGATTTTCAGATACCAAGCACTGGACTTGGTACAACTACAGATACTTTTCCACCTCCAAGACTAGACCAGAGAAAAACCCCAAATTTAGGAGGCGGCTGTCATTTTTAAGGAGCATATGGGGCTCCTGGGATTTGTGGATCCCTGTTTTAATGTATATGTATATACATACACACACTATAAAAAAATGTATAATGTATAATATATATATATATATATATACACACACATACATACATACACATATACATATACATACATATATACATACATACATACACATAAAAAATATTCTTATACGCCAACAATTAAATAATACCCAAGTGCAAATTTATATATAAAAAAAAATAGATATCCTGGCTGAGGGCAAATATATATTGCAAACACAACGAAAACAATAAAAAACCGCCCCCCAAATGCAATACATACAGACCTCTCCCATTATTTCCAACAAGATGAGGTATAAACAAAAACATTAAAGAGGAAATGTACCCATATCTTTAAAAGGACAACATACACACCTTTAGAAATGTTATATTAAAGTGACATTAAACCCTCAGATTTTTTAACATAACCCAATACTGTAATGTGCGCCTTACTGTAATCCATGGTTGTTTCCCTTCTCTTTGCTGCTCTTCCTTTTAAATCTGTATCTCTTCTCATGCTGGGCAGAACTTCTGTTTTGCAGCAGACTGCCTTGTCTCTGGAATGGATACATGGTGTCTGTGTGTAGGTTTGTAACCTGAGCCAGCACTACAGGAAGAGGCACTCAGCTGCAAAGGGAAGTTCTCCCCCAGCATGAGAAGACATGAGGATTTAAAAGGAAGAGCAGCAAAGAGAAGGGAAACTACCATGGATTACAGTAAGGCACACATTACAGTATTGGTTTATGTTAAAAAAATCTGAGGGTTTAATGTCACTTTAAGTTATCTGAGGATTTTTATCTCTTAGATAGTTTTGTACCTTTAATTCTCTTGGAGTTTTATGTTGCACATCTCTTCTAAATATTCTGAATTCCTGCTGTTTTCTTATCAAACTCTAAGGCCACTCAATCATAGCTACTTAGTTTTCAGTTTTGGTGACTGTAGCTCATGAATTCCATGCATAAAGAATGCCGGAATGTGTCACAGAAAGAATGACATTTTCTTTCTCTCATACATAGTAGCCAATGCCTATCAGCTGCTCCGGATTTTATTTAAGGGTTAGTTCACACCATATGCAGTGCGTTTCGGTCCGATTATGGCCGGAACGCACTGCATCGCATTGTGGTTGGCTTACTATTTGTGGGGCAGAAGGGGGCACCGTAAGTTTAAGTTTATGGCACCGTAGCCACGCCCTCCGGCCGCAATGCGATTGCCCGCACCGGATCGTACGGCACATTGTGCCTGCGGTCCGATGCGATCAAAATGCTGCAGGCACTATTTTGATTGCACCGGACCGCAGGCACAATGTGCCTTACGATCCCCTGCGGGCGATCGTATTGTGGCCAGAGGGCGTGGCTACGCTGCCATTCACTTCAATGGCCCGCCTCACCCCCTCCTGTCACACTAAAAAGTGAGCTGGCCGCAATGCGAGGCAATGCGTTCCGGCCAGAATCGGGCCGGAACGCACTGCAACTGGTGTGAACGGGCCCTTAAAAGAGAACTATGGCCCAACCTTTTTTTTTGTCACGGTTCTCTTTGGGGTCACAGGAGAACATATACTAATGTCCTCCTGTGATCCAAAACTCAGCATATAGCAGGCTATTGCATGCTATATGCGGACAGCGCAGAGCCACGCTGAAGCCGGGACAGAACCCGACAATATTGTCGGGATCCAACCCGCTGCCTGATTGACAGCTGCCTCTGCCTCTCTAGAGCCAGCTGTGGCCACCACTTCCCCAGTCTGTTCTTCTAGTCAGCGCTGGAGGAATAGGAAGAGGGCAGGAATCCCTGCGAGAAGCAGTTACTGACAGTCATCGCTCTCTGCAGGGAGAAGATCGGGAACGGAGCGATCAGCGGTATGTGATCGCTCAATTCTCGATCAATAGAGCCGACTTATGACAGCTTCAGTGTCCCATCTCTGCTCTAATTAAGGGGAAGAGTGTATTTCACTCCCCATTATTCTCCTCTAAAAGACACTGGTATGGTGTGTTGCTCCTGGACACCATCAAACACATGCTGCTCATCCAGCCCACTACAGAACTCGTCTTCTGCCTCTCAAAAGTGTCTTCTAGTGGCAGCTGCCAGAAGCAGCTTTCTAAGCACCACAGCAGACAGTACACAAGTACCAAAAAGGCTGCAGCTCACAGCGTGCCAAACACAATTTTCTTTTCAAATCAAACAGTGCATTCTGTTTGCATGACAGGCTGCATCGATGAGGAGAGATAAAGGACCTGCACTAATAGTTCAGTTATCCTTCAGCACTCCTGCTTTGCATTGATTGTGTTCTAACTTCACAAGCCACCAGGGAGTCTGATGCTTCTTTTCTTCTAATGTTTGCAAAGCACATCTTACTATAGAAAAAATACAATATGCAAAACTAAGGGAAAACAAAAACCCAAACACTATTTAACATATGAAATGGTACAAATGGGAACCCACTGAGCTATTTTTGTGACTAAAAGGTGCCCATACACCTTACAATTATCTGCAGATTTTCTGTGGTCAGATGGAAAAAGTGCAACAGATTGGCCCAGGTGGAGATCACTCCATCCACACAGTTAAGTGTAGATGGAGGAATATGTTGCACATTTTCCATCTGACCACAGAAAATCTGCAGAGAATTGTAAGGTGTATGGCCAGCTTTAAGGTGTCCATACACTGTACGATTCTCGTGGGAAATCCCGCGATCGTACGATAATCGTGCAGTGTATGGAAGGCGTGCGACCGTTTCTACTGTACGGTCGCACGTCTTCTGTCGAACAAGCAGGCTGGAAAACCCGTCGGGAATCGTACGATTCTCGGCGAGTTAGTGGCCTTCTTGTTCGACAACTGCGAACGGGCCGGTGTGCGTTTGCAGTCATCAGAAGCCCGCCCCTCATTGCAGTCATCGCAAGGCCGCCCGCCCTTCTGAGGGGCAAAAGTCTTGCGAGGGTTGTAAAGTGTATGGCCACCTTTACACCGATCAGCCATAACATTATGACCGCTGACAGGTGAAGTGAATACCATTGATAATCTTATTACAATGGCACCTGGAAGTGGTGGATATATTAAGCAGCAAGTCAACATTTTGTCCCTAAAGATGAAGTGATGGAAGCAGAAAAAAAAGGGGAAACGTAATGATTTCAGCAGCTTTGACAATGGCCAAACTGTGGCCCTCATTAATGCATGCGGGAAGCGAAGGCTGGCCTGTGGGGTCCAATCCAATAGAAGAGCTACTGTAGCTCAAATTGCTGAAAAAGTTAATGCTGGTTCCGATAGAACGGTGTCTGAACACACAGTGAATCACAGTTTGTGGTGTAGAGGGTTGTGCATTATCAGACTAGCCATGATGGCCACACTGACCCTTGTCCATTGCCACAAGCGCCTACAATAGGTACGTGAGCAGCGGCGTAACAACCGGGGGTGCAGCAGGGGCGCGGGCCCCGGGCGAAAAGTGAAGGGGGGGCGCCGGCCGAAAATGGCACTTTCGGCTAAATGCCGAAAGTGACATTTTCCTGCCGTTTTGTCGGCGCGGCCGTGATTCCTTTCATCCCCGCTGGGACACAGAGCAGTGCCCAGCAGGGATGAAAGGAATCAGAGAGAAAATGACAGCCGGCCGAGCGCTGCGGGACGAGCGCTGTGAGCGGCCGGTGTCTTTCCTCCCACACCGCTCGGCCGCCTATCACAGTGCAGCAGAGCGGTGTGGGGGCGGAGACAGCCAGCGCTGTCACAGGAGGCTGGGCTCTCCTCTTGCAGCCTCCTATGACAGTGTGTGTCAGAGAGGAGAACGGGTACAAGCACTCAGCGATCAGTGATCGCTGAGTGTTTGTACATAATTGAGGACCTGGTATGTAAACTATATCCTCAATTATGAATGAACGGGAGTGATCTATATCTCCTCCTGTTCATTCATAATTGTAGTTATAGTAAACATACCATGTTATCAATGAACAGGAACACTCATAAAGGATTCCTGTTCATTGATAACAGGGGACACAGAAAAAGAGATTGTGGACTCTGTGTCCTCAACCTCTTTTTCTATTTTTAAAGGGAAATATCAGGGGTCTGTTTAGACCCCCAATATTTCCCCGAAGCCCCTAAAAGTAAAGTAAAAAATAAAAATATTTAATAAAAAATTAATTAATAAAAATTGATTTAAAAAAATGAAAAAGTTTCAAAAAAAAATATTAAAATGTAAAAAAATTAAAATAAAAACATGTGTGTGTGGGGGGGGGAGGTGCAGGGTACAGTTCCAATGGGTGTTTATATAATGGGGGGGAAAAAAAAATTCTGCCCCGGGCGCCCAGAACTCTGGTTACGCCACTGTACGTGAGCATCAGAACTGGACCATGGAGCAATGGAAGAAGGTGGTCCGGTCTAATGAATCAGATTTTCTGTTACATCATGTGGATGGCTCGGTGGGTGTGTGTTGCTTACCAGGGGTAAGAGATGACACCAGGATGCACTATGGGAAGGCGAGCTGGCGGAGGCAGTGTGATGCTTTGGGCAATGTTCTTCTGGGAAACTTTGGATCCTGTCGTTTGTGTGGATGCTACTATGGCATATACCACCTACCTATACTCAGAACACCTTCAGTGGTCTAGTGGAGTCCATGCCTGGACAGGTCAAGACTGTTTTGGCAGCAAAAGGGGAACCTACTTAATATTAGGTGGGTGGGCATACTGTTATGGCTGATTGGTGTATAGAATCTAGCACAACAAAGGGCACAAAGTTATAACCTGGAAATGTCCAGACCAAAGACTTTTCGATTTTTGGTGTGGTGGGAGAAGGTTCATTACTCCATTACTTCACCGAAGCCCAGGTACCCCACCCAACATGGATATGGAAAAGGAAGCAGAGGAAAACTGTGAGCTGATCAACGTTTAAACAAACACGTATATGATCACAATGTAGTGCAGACAGTGGGAGAAGACTTGCAAAATAATACTTGGGAAATTGAGGGAACAACTAACAGCAGGAAATAGTTTGGAGGGAGGTCAATGGAATTGGAGAGGATGATATACCAGATATACTGGGATGGAAGGGGGAGAACATAGTGGAAGGAGAGCCCACACATAAGGTAGCGCAGACACTGGGAAGAGAGCAGTGTTTCGTTTTGTGGACACTGCTGAGGGAACAATATGTGCTGGGGATGTAGACCCTGATGATGTAAGAATGTCTTTAAGAGCACGGCCAGAGACTTTAAACTGAACTCTAGGAAGATATAATAAACACATATTAATGCAGCCATGTAATCATGAATACATCATCATATATAATCTCTTAAATGCAACCAGAGTGTAAGTTTCGATCTGAATTTTACCTGGTATGAACTTTTTGCAGGCCGTGTACAGCAGGACTAAGTGTGAGAGGCATAAGCAGAAGTAAGAGTCTATCTGTTCATGGGACAACAAGGAACATTCTAATAGAGGGAATGAATGTGAATATAGCGTCAAAAATTACTTTGTCTAAAAAATCTGTAATGGGTTAAAAAAATATGTTATCTTGGTATTTTTGGCTGGAAAACACTGGAAGGGGCCAGAGTTAAGACTTGTGCTTTCCTGAAATGCAATCATTACTTTTTTTTAAATATATTCAAAATGATAAAAAAATAAAATAAATTATCCAAATAAATATATGGATATGATGGTTAGCTAACGATATTCAAGCACTCACATGAGCTCAGTTGTGGTTCTCTTTAAATGAATGCGCAGTTAGAAGATGACTCATTACTTACAAATAAATGTCAGCCGCATTATTTCTCCGTGTTATGTTACACAATAAAAGTAAATAGTTAAAACCGGGTTTCATTCACCAACATTCTAAAAATATCCTACTTATTGCTATAGAAATCATGCTAGGAAAAAAATAGGTCACATGAATAGAGCTCTTGACATTATGGAAAGGGAGAAATACGGCTCGGCCACTGTGTTGCACTAAAGAATACTGTTACCACATCAAGCGTATCATATAAGGCTAGGACTAGAAACATGCAAACCTGTGGCTCTCCAACTCCTCGAACTATAAGTCAAAGGCAGAGAAAAAAAAAAAATAGAGCACAAACATGACAGTTTCAAGTAAGTCTAAAATGTGCAGTGCACAATGAGAAATGGACAGAGACTGGGATGTGACTCTCACTACACTGGTCTGTGATTGAGTTGCATGCATCAACCTACACACTACCCCAATGAATGTGGAGTCAATTATAAATGAGCCCAAATGTTGCACTTTTACGTCAACTTGTGTTGACAATAGGCACTACCTATACCTCCAGTTGTTGCAAAATCCAACCCAGTTTTTAGTGTGTATATGCTCCCCGATACATTCCAGGTATTAGGTTCCCCCCTCACATCAGAGCCCTCCCTTTGACACTGGAGTCATCCTCTTTCAAATCAGGAGCTGCAGCAAGATGGCAAAGGGCCAGAAGTGAAGTATAAGGGTGAATGACTTTGCTTGAAACAAAATGGATGCATGAGCATCATTCACTTCCTTGGTGTTGGCAGCCAACCTGCCTGTGCCATAGAAAGGCAGGATGCTGTGTGAAAACTTTGAGGTACCCCTGAGGAAGCCAGGAGGCACCCTGGTTGAGAAAGGCTAATCCACGTTCGCAGTTGAAAAACATATTTTTTTGTTTTGTTTTACTTTTTTTTAAATTCTGAACAGCCAGACTTGTCATTTACACAGTCAGACAGGTAACACATTGTTTCTCACTAAACTACCGTATATACTCGAGTATAAGCCGTCTCGAATATAGCCGAGGTACCTAATTTTACCACAAAAAACTGGGGAAAAGTATTGACTCGAATATAAGCCGAGGGTAAGAAATGAGGCAGCTACTGGTAAAATGTACAAAATGAAGATAGATACCAATAAAATTACATGAATATTTATTTAAAAGAAAAACAATAACCTAGCTCTGTAAGTGGAAAAGGGGGTACAGGGCTACACCCTGGTTTATTAATGCAGCCGCCTCACTGGACAGTGAATCAGCATCATCAGACCTTTCCTTTTTTTAAATCAGCTCTGTTAATATAGTGTCGGCATTCAGCAGCTCGTGTCCAGCCCTGACATTGGCCAGGGTCCTGGCAGTTACTAGGGATGCCCAACACAATCTTCAAAAACTGTTGATGCAGATCTTCCCTGACCCTTGTCAGGACCTTGTCAGCAGGATAGGGGATCTTAACCATATCCGGGCCACAATACGTATATATACAGTGGCACGCAGAAGTGGTTAAACCAGTTCTTGGTGTCATTTTTTTAACAGCCGGTGATGGCTGTTAATGTACAAGCGACCCGGCGTCTGTAGAGCCGCCGTATCATTTGTACAGATCGCCGGCATGTGCGGCCCCCACCCCCTTCACCAGCTTTCCCAGGCTCCGCTGTCCCTTGTGCAGGGCCCGGGACTGGCACTGCGGGTCTCAGCGCAAAGATCAGAGAGAGATTCAGCGGCTTAACGGTGTTAAAATGTTTGTACATCCAACACCAATACTAATCAAGTGACATCCAAAAAAGCATTTATACTGGTTCAATGCCCCTGGTCCCCTCAAACCAACTGGACTCTTACCTTCATCTTAAAAATGACAACAGAACACACCTTTAGAAATGTTTAGTAATGGCAATCTACAAACACATCCTTCTAGATAATTGCTGGCTTTGTATTCTTTTATTTTTTTTGAGCCTTTATTTTCTTTTCCTCCCCATGCTTATAAGAGTGGCCATTCCCACTAAGGGCAGATTAATCCATCTCCCTTTACTTCCTGGAACTCTGGCACATGTGACAGTGCATATCATCTCAGGTCAAAAAAAAACATGAGTTGATTACCTGATAACTCTGTTTCCAGGAATCTTCCAGGACAGCCATCAAGATATAGGCTCCGCCTGCCTGCAGCAGGAAACACATCAAGCACATTAAATAAATAGACTCCTCCTTCCATCCCAAGTCAGTCACCGCTAGGACCGAAGGCTACCCCATGCACACAAGTATCCCCTCCTTCATCCAACCTCGGATGCCACTTGGACCCTGGAGAGCTAAAAAAATTGTTCCACTTGCTTGTTGTTGGCTGTTGCGAAGAGGTCTACCCCGGGACAGCCCCACAAGCTGGTGATCCATGCGAACGTTCCTGCGTTTAGAGACCACTCTGACCTGTGCAGCTCCGTCCTGCTGAGCGAATCTGCCAACTCGTTCAGGCTGCCCTTGAAATGCCTCGCCGTCAGCGAGAGGAGGGTGTGCTCTGCCCAAGTTAGAATATTCGTCGCCAACTGCATGAGGCCGTGCGAGCGCAAGCTGCAGCTCTAGATTACATCACTATATAACCTTCCCAAGATGCATCTCTTAGACCCGGATTACATCACTATATAACCTTCCCAAGATGCATCTCTTAGACCCGGATTACATCACTATATAACCTTCCCAGGGTGCATCTCTTGGACCCGGATTACATCACTATACAACCTTCCCAGGATTACATCACTAATGCCTAAAAGGACCAGGAAGTGTAAAAATCCGTAAATTTAAGTAAAAGCAAAATATGTTTAATGAATGAAAGATAATTTCATACCATGTGATTTCTAGGTAAAGGTCCACATTAAATTCAAATATAACGAGATATGAAGAATATCTAATACATTTAACAGAAATAAAGCAGAACTAAACCCTCCGATCCTTTACAGCTGAGGATGATGCCATTTTAGCCTCTATGTGAATCTGAAGTCGTCAGGGTGCTACACATGCGATCACCTATGACACCAGCCATTTGATGGCTTGAAAGTTTGGTTGAGAGCTGACGTAAGCACACTGGCAACAATGACAGCCATCACCAGAGGCATGCTTTGAATGTAACTGTTTAAATGTTCTCCTCTTAATGGTTATTGCAGAGAAAGAGCACTGTGTGGTGAATAGCGCCTGCAGAAGATGTGGATTCAGCATTTCAATTTCCAAAACAAAATGAAACGGTTTTGGGAAGAAGTAACCCACCTGTTTTCTCCCCAAACTTGTAGACTCCAAGAATTTTTTTTTTCATCTGCGTCACTGAAATTATTTGTCACATTTCGCCTTAAATTTCTGAAAAACAGGAGAGTCATATTTCATTAAAAAACTACACCAAAGGATCGTCTACATCCGAAATATCCACATGAATAGGATAACTGAACCGTGAGGCAGATTCCTTAGGGACAACCAACAAAAAACCCAAACTGGGGCTCTCTGCCTTACCTCAAAAGAAACATGTGACCTAAGCCAAATGTATGCTTACATCCAGCTTTGATGTTAACCCCTTCATGACCGAGTCATTCTTTTTTGCACCCATGTAATTTATTTATTACAGGTATTTATATAGCGCCGACAATTTACGCAGCACTTTACATAGTTGCACATTCACATCAGTCCCTACCCTCAAGGAGCTTACAATCTAAGGTCCCTATCTCACATGCATACATAGAGAGCAAACTTAGAGAGGAGCCAATTAACCTACCAGCATGTCTTTGAAGTAATCATTTTAGGCTTGAAAATTACTTCAAACCCCCAAACATATATTTTCTGAAAGCCCAGACCCTGTAGAATAAAATGGTGGCAGTTGCAAATCGTTATGCTGCACGATATTAGCGCATTTTATTATCAAACCCAAACATTTAGTCAATAATGCACTTAAGTTATACTTCGTGCCCTGAAACACAGTAGAATACCCATTTTTTTACTAAAATATAAAAGATGGAGGTTACAACAAGTAAATAGATACCCAACATGCTCAGGTTACAAATCGTGTGGCGACAAATTTCAGTACCCCAAAAAGTCCACTGACGAAGCTTTAAAAGCTCCTGCAGGTCATCAGTTTAGAAACACGCATAATTATTGGCCTAGAAATATTTAGAAGTTTACCGGCCCATTGAAGCAAGTCTGTTTAAATGGGCCCGCTGCCAGTGACGTATGTGAATCACTGGTCGGGAAGGGGTTAAAGAAGCTTTTTTTTTTTACAACCACCACTAATTGGAACTCTCAGAAGCATGGCTGCTGGTTATGTACTACAATTCCATGATGGACTGCAATCTCATGTTTAGTTTACCAATTTGTACTGAGATTGTAGTCCATCACAGGAGCGAGCTTGGAGCAGTGACTACTTTACAACACACACAGGGACCATGGGGAACAAAAGTAGCCCCCCTCCAGAAGGAAGGACAGTGTCCACACCAATTCAGAGATGATTGGAGGATCTACAGCCGAGTGATACACAAATAAGATACAATGGGGGGAGTAATTGATCAAAACTGGAGAAGACAGAATCTGGAGCAGTTGTCCATGCCAACCAGCTTCTCTCATCAGTCTGTTCATCTAAGATTTGAAAATGAGAGACGCTGATTGGTTGCAGTGCAAATCTGTTCCAGATTTTGTCTGCTCCAGTCTTTATAAATTCCCCCATTGTTATTAATAGTGAAGGTACCTAAACATTTTTTAAGATTAAAAGGAGAACTATGAGATGAGTGATTTCCACTCACCTCATAGTTCTAAGCCGACCTGTGACAATGAGACTGTCACAGGTCGGCTCAGTAGATCGGGAGGTGAGGGAACGCATACAGGGTTCCCTCACCTCTCGATCCTGTCACGGCTCTCTGCCGTGACAGGGGAGGGGCTGGATTCCCCTCTCCCCGCTCCGATCTGCCAGCGCTGACTGGCGGAACGGACGGGGGAGGGGGCGGGTACAGCTGGCTCTGCCTCTAGATAGGCAGAGCCAGCTGTCACTCACGCAGCTGGGCGGATCCCGTCATCTAAGTCGGTATCCGCTCCAGGTGTGGCGTCTCAGTATACCACGAGCTGTAGCTCGCGGTATACTGAGCTTAGGGTAACGGGAGGACGCTAGTTTGTGTCCTCCCGTTACCCCAAGGAGAACTATGGGGAAAAACACTGACCCCATAGTTCTCCTTTAAGGGCTTGTTCACATCAAATGCAGACCAGATCTGCATGAGTTTCTGCACACGCAGTGCAGTGGGTTGTGCCGCGTTTTTGATGTGTTCCGGGCCATTTTGTTTTTTTGTTTAGTTTAGAATGGGCTTTTAGTGCGTTCCAGGGCGGTTGCATGCGTTTGATGCGTTTTCATGCGTTCCAGAGCAGGTAAAATAGGGCTTGCTGCAGTTTTACATGCCCTGGAACTGAACGCTGCGGTGTCAACTAGAGCCCACAATACCATTGGAATACATTGGACGCAGTTTTGATCCGGTCTAACTGCTCTGCTCCTGGAACGCGCTTGGTGTGAACAAGGCCTTAACTCCTGATTTTAGTGTCACTTTAAGCTGGCACTGGTACACTGAATTGTTAACCACAGTAATGTATGCATTCAAATGTATGAGAATCCACTGAGCGTTGTGACACCTTCATTTGTAACAGGCATGGCAGTTCGGAGCCACTGGGAATTTCAGTGACTGCCATGTAACAAAAGTACTGGAAGAATTACATATAATAAACCAATTTGTTTTTATTACAGCAGTCCAGACAGTGTCAGTTATTAGTCCTGAGCCTAGGCTGGAGACATATAAGCCTCCACAGGGGCTTCACTATAGACACTGCTGCTCTGACAGGAAAAGAACACGAGTGAATAAAAGCACAAATCCCTAAGAAAAACCCTGACTTATTATAACTTTTTAACATTGGCAATTCAGGTTCTTACAGAGGAGCATTCCTTACGGTGCTGGCAACAGAGTGACAATACAAGTCCTCCAATACTGATATGAAAAATACACATGTGCGGGCTGTCACTACTCACAGATTACAGGCCTGTAAGAGACCCACACTCCTGACACACTCAGAAAGAAAGCTCATTCCTGTAATGGACTACAATCTCGCCTTCGGTTTACTAATTTGTACTGAGATTGTAGTCCATCACAGGAGTGAGCTTGGAGTGGTGACTAATTCACAACACACACAGGGACCATGGGGAACAAAAGTAGCCACCCTCCAGAAGGAAGGACAGTGTCAGCACCAGTTCAGAGATGATTGGGGGATCTACAGCAGAGCGATACACAAATAAGAGACATTGTTGTCCATAGTGAAATTTTTGAATGTATTTTTAAGATTTAACTCCTGAGTTTAGTGTCACTTTAATAAGTGTCAGGAACATACTGCTGGTGATACAAGAGGAGGTGGCTGTGTGGGGATGAACTGTTTGAGAAAGTGATAGTTGAGTGGTTAGGTTGAGGTGGGATAAGCTTCCCTGAAGAGATGAGGCATTGCCTAAAGGCAGACAGAGTAGGGAATAGACAGGTTGGGTGTCTCAGAGGATGGGAGAGACTATATACACTGAGTGGCCAGATTACTATGACCACCCCATCAGTACTTCGTTGGGCCACGAGGTGACTCCACGAGATGACTTAAAAAAAAAAAAAAAAAAATCTGTAGTTTTTCCTTAATATATTAAAAAATTAAAACCCCAGTGATGATTAAATAACCACCAAAATAAAGCTCTATGTGTCCCCAAAAAAGGGTATAAAATTCATTTCAGTACAGCGCTGCATGCCGGAATAAATGTCAGTCAAAGTACCGCAGCGCTGAATACTGAAAAATGGCCTGGATGGGAAGTGGGTTTAACACCGCGGATGTCAACTGGTTAAACACTTTAACAACAGCTGCTCTTGAACATTTAACGAATTCTGCTGTTTTGCTGATACTCGCTCCATGGCTTGAGCACCAACAATCATCCCACGTTCAAAGGCTGTTAAATCGCGTTGTTTACCCGTATCTTCATAAAATCACTTCTACTGTTGTGGTAAACAAACTGCTTCCATATTTATAATGGTCAGGCCCTCTAGCAAATTCAGCGCAAAATTTTGCTGTCGGTACCGAGTACCGATACTGGTGCTTCCGCTGCATGGAGCCAGCTTCCCGAGCAATATGATTGCCAGAAAAGCTGGCTCCATGTTGATTGGCCTGGGAAGCCAGTTTCCTGGCCAAGCTCAATCAAGCAGGTTAGACATGTTGTTCCTTCCTATGACCAGAAGTATTGGTATCGGGAAGGTATCGGAGCATTTTGGCGAGTACGGGTACTCACCCAAATACTCTGTATCAGCACCAATACCGATACTAGTATCGGCGCATCCCTAATATATCTTAATTGGTATTTGCATGTACAACATATCACAAAATTCCTATGGTCCTGATGGCACTCTCAGCACTGGAGCGAACCAGGAGCAGACTATCCTGCTGGAAAGCTAACAGATACAGGCCTTTAATTACTCTCTCAATCCATCCAATCAAGACCGTCACCAAATCTTCATGTGTAAATGTAACTATTGCTCCACTTTACAAGTAACCTTCAATGTGCTGGTGCAGCTGACGATAACAAAAGGATACAGGAGCACATAACCTGATATTATCCAGGTTTACTAGTAATTTTCATCCTGGCTGGAGCTGACCTGTACCCATCCATCATTCTTCCAGGCTGCTGGGGAAAACCAAAGCCCCTAGAGCCAGCATCGGAATATTTTTAACTCGCATCCGATAGAAGTGCTTGTACAGATGTCAAATGTCCGTACAGAGAATTTATATGCAAGATTCATACTGATGTTTGTGCCAGCAAGAATGCAGCACTACAGCACAAACTGTCAAACAATGACTTATGCGAATCTGCACATGAACTTATTCGGAGGATATTACATAAATAATATATAAATCTAAATCTGCATTTCACAGTGAGAACACTCTATACAAAGCAAAAACAATGCAGAAGAATTCGGGATACTATATACAGGAGGAAGGAGATGTATGGCCGTCTATAGCAACTAGGTACTTTATATTGAACTGCACAAGGAAATTAAAGCCGTCATGTGATTGGATGCAAAATGCAACACCTTTTTAAATAATGAATGCATAATATAACAAAATATATGAAAATATTTAAAATAATTCTGATAGCACAGTGATTCAGTGCTTGGCTCTGTATCCTTGGAGTTCTGGTTCCATGGATTCGAGTCCCACTATGGCAGGGATAGACAAAACCCAGGAGCTAGGATGCAGACGCTCCTTAAAATTTACAGCTGGCGCCTAGCTTTTGAGATTATCTCTAGTTGTTGTCAATGGAG